TCAACCTCTTTCACATCTCCGAAACACGGGAGATTTAGCAGTCGCGTGCGCATATAGTCCAAAACATTCAACTGGCTCTCTCTGTAACGATCTAGTAGTATCTGCAATTGATCGGAGGGGATAGTCATTTTCTGAATCAGCAGAGTAATGAGAAATACTGTAATCAACTAACAACCAATGACTAACAAGGACGCCGACGACAGATCTGGATGCTGATTGGTCAGAACAATTATACTGAATCTCGTCCAATTACAGGGTTCAAAATTCTCTCTACCCCGTCGCCAATTGATTACAGTATTTCTCATTACTCTGCTGATTCAGAAAATGACTATCCCCTCCGATCAATTGCAGATACTACTAGATCGTTACAGAGAGAGCCAGTTGAATGTTTTGGACTATATGCGCACGCGACTGCTAAATCTCCCGTGTTTCGGAGATGTGAAAGAGGTTGACGAACTAATTTCTCACCTGCATACTGAACTCGAGAATGACTGCAGGACATATGAAGATGAAAACAAAAGCCTCTATGAATCCCTCACGATCAGTAATGCAAACGAGGCAGTCGCCATGATCCATCCAGAGATCCAGAATTGTCCAATTCAGAAGTATGCCCTGTTGTGGGTTCAAATCCCACTGTGCCTGAAACATGTGAGGTATCCAGCTTACAAGAAGAACCTCTCGTGCCAGAAAATGTTTCCCGTGCATCAAATGATGGTCAGAAATCTGATATGAATTTCAAAGATGCTGTTTGTTTTAGTGACCTATTATCCAGTGATCGCATTTTGAAGAGGTCTGAAGGATATGTTGCACAAAAATCAAACCTTAATGACGTCATGTCTGGTGTCGCTAATCCTTATCATCTAGTCAGTTTTAGTGAACCCTCTACTCAATGCGCGAAATATGCTTTAAATAGAATCAGACTGATTGTTGCTTGGGTATATGAGGACCCAACGTTATTTCGCGGGGGAGGACGGACGCAGAAAATTTTAAAGTCCAGATATTAACTCCGGATCTTTCAAAAAAGGGGAGGTGTTAGGATAGTCGGAAAAATATACCAATAATTATCGTGTTAAGTCTATGGTGTCCTTGGACCTTAAATGTACATTTCTTATTGGTCGATGTTTATTTCACTTGTTAAATATTTTGTAAATGTTGTTTCCTATTTTGTGGTACGATGTGGTGTGCTTGATTGGTATATAAACAAAGTATGTCTGAAATACAACGATTCATAACTCAGAGGCTGTGACTTGCGTTCTTGACTCAACTGGCTGGGACAGACTGCGAAGCGGGACCAATCAGGGCACTAGGTCGTCCATACGTGTTTTCCGTGTCTACTGTAATCGATCGATATAAACGCTGTCTAGCATAACCTGCAGTCCCACACGCGTTACAACATAATTCATATCCATAGTTGTCTGAGTTCACTGATATAAGTGGTAATACGTCATGTCTTCTTACTGCTAGTTTGTGTTTGAAGATATTGGTAGTCATTTCGTAGACATTTTGCAGTTGGTTTCTCCTGATGATAAAAAATATGTCACCCACCCTAGATATGCAGTTTAATTTAGGTTGATTTTTAGTATAATTGTATCCTTGGGTTTTCCCAAAACATCTGAGATTGGTCTCGATCCCACTGCAGCATACATAATTAAGAAACAGGGGAATAAATGTGGTTGAATCCCATAGGCGATTGATAAATGTCAGTTTTTTTACGGCTCTTATTGTTTAATCAATTTTAAGACCTTGCCCACTATATCAAAATTTGCGTTAGTCCTTTCTCATCCTTCAATCTGACTTCATTGTTTATTTGACGTCTTATGTTCAGTTTGCTATTGAGGTTATATACATACTCCTCTCCTATGTTATGGATCTCATTGATTTTTCATCTCTCTGCACTCGGTTTTGATATATAAAATTCTGGGTAGTTATGTGTTAGTTTTATTTGTTAAGTAGCCTCCTACATTTGGAGCTTTACGATCTAGACAATTGACCGTTGAATCATGTCATTGAATCTATACCACATTAATATAATAATCTCCTTGTTTACAGTTGACCACCCAACAGAATTAATTCAATTTCGTGCAAATTATTCATTAAATAGTTTCCTAACCAATGTCACGTAATGTTATATATTTTGCAGTCATACAATCAGTTGATCAGCCAAGTAATCAAGATCACTAGTTATAAATAGCTATAGTTGTTTTCTGGGTTGTAGACAGTACAATTCGCAAACTAAGTCATTTCATATATATATATATATATATATATATATATATATATATATATATATATATATATATATATATATATATACTGCTGTCTGTTCAACGTTTATTCAGGACTGCAGATATCTAATAAAATAAACTAAATATATCATCCTGTCAACTCCGCCTGTACCTCTTCTAGGGTTACTGCCGGTCCCAAGCCGGATAAAACAGGAGGGTTGGGTATGGGGTCAGCAACCCTAACCTGTGAAAAACAACCTTCCTAAAAAAAACGTCAACCATTATAAACAAATTAATTATCACCCTATCAACCAGTAATAATCAGTAAACGTATAATCAAGTTACACTTGATTAAATGGTCAGCTGTACTGTTTATCTTGAATTTACTCATGAAAAATTTCAGCTCAACATCCGCTTATTGATTTACATACTCTTGTTTATTGATCCACTGCATTGTATTTTCGAGCCTATACTTTAATAACCATAAAAATTGAATAATTAAGTAAATACGTAAGCTGTTTTTTTTCACTGTTTAAAGTCATCAGTAGTTGTATTATATTGGTAGAATTCTTCATTATAGAAATGTATTATCCATCAGTTTATCATTTAATTAAAAAAAATTCTTTGAACATACACACAGAGATGGATAGATGTTCATGATAGAAGAATCAAAAAAAAATTTTGTTTTATCTTTCAATAAAATGTGCTATTTTTAAAATCACATGTTAATTTCAGTTTTTTTTAATAGTTAAAATAGATAATAAGATTGACTTTCCAATTACCATAGTTGTATCCAATTTATGTAAATAGACATACTTATGTGTGTTACTGTTACTAATGCATAAGCATATGTAACTATGACTACGTGTATTGCATTTTCATGATTATATGGTGTCTATTTATGCTTGTTTTTGATACATCAGCCAAACTTCTTTATTATTTCACCAAAAAAATTATTGATGTGTCTATCTATCTATCTATTTATCTATCTACCTGTCTGTTTATCTCTCTTATGGTATTGCACAACTGATCCACATAGTATACATATATATATTTACATCATATTACACAAATATTACATATGTATTTAAATCTAATCCCGTGAATTACTTACATTATTTGTTTAATGACGTAGCTATCATCATTGTCTTACCGATTATTATTGGTTACTTAAACGACGATAGTCACGTAAATAATAATGAAGTTAATATTAAGAAAAAATTCAGTTGGAAATATTCAAACATTACACATACACCTAGATTTTGTGTATATTTGTATTTTCCATAATATTGATTAGAGTAGTCAGTTTGTTCAAATAAATTAATTTACTTAAGAGTAAGGAATTATTCAAATTTTAACATATAATCTACTTTTAAATTAAGATATAAATATGAAAAAGGAACTTGAAATTATATATATTACAAAGTGATTTCTTTTGTCATAGATAACTCATTAGACAATTCAGAGCTATATCTACCATTTCTTTTAATTTCTAAATAGAAACTTTATGGAATTCAACTAAATCAAATTTGCCATCACATAATACTACAAATTCGTTGTGTAAACAGTGAAATTATTCAACTTTTAATCAACTAGTTACAGTATTAAATCACATTTCTCTTACATTAATTTGGCCGGTTAAACAGTATTTATAGACTTCACAAGTATGATTGAAAGTTGATTAAAAATATTAATTAATTTACTTATTTACTAGGTACTTGAATGTACGCTACAATTTAAGTATCCGATATAATGATAACGCTTAGTTACCCAAACTAAAGTAGGTTGAGTGAGTTTCGGACCCAGGAATTCGTAGCTGAAAGTTGGACACCTAAACTAATTAACAGTTGGAAATCGTTTATCAGAACGAGTTTACTGGTTAGCGTTTTTTAGCGAGTTAGTTTTCTACGGGATGGGGTCGCTAACCTCATACCCAACCCTCCTCCTTTACCCGGGCTTGGGACCGGCAGTAACTCTGAAAGACCTACAGGCAGAGTTTTTTTAACGAGTTTTATTTATTTATTTACCGAGTTCTATCTTCATAACGTCACGTCAAACTTTTCTGATTCTATAAGCTTCATTTCCATATTGCTTATTTTTCGTTTTGTATTTTTCTCTGGCGAAAGGATAATCAGACTACTATCATTGTATCCCTATTTCTTTATTCTTGTGACTATGTATTTCCTCTCATTATACCGATGTTTCACTTTTACTCGACAATAAGCACATTCCTTGATCCTCAGGGAGAAACATTCGACCCTGTCTACCTAGAGCTCTTGATAAGTGTGTCAAAAATTATATTAACCTACTAAAGCCTCTTTAGTCAAAAACTGTTGATTGTGTTTAATCTGTTTAGATCTAGTGGTGTTTTTAGATCTGCATACGTCTTGTTTTTATTTAACTTCATATATATACTCCTAGAAGTAACATCTTACTTTTCAATGATTGGTTACCTATCTGTGGAATTAGATGATATAGTTCTCTTTAGTGAAGGTTCTTACAGAATCCAGAGTTATTTGAACGCCATAAATAACGATATAAAAATGTTTAGTATCCGTTCCTTTCCCTATAAATTCAAAATGTTTCCGCATCAGTTCTCAGTTTTATCATAGAGAATGAGGTAGTTAAGCGAGTTGGCCTCTTCACTTAGCTTAAAAGTCTTATCATTCCTCTTAAATTGGTGGCCGACGAAATCTTGACACCGATTAAAATCTTTTTCCATATCTGTAGTCTTTACTGTGAAAAAATGAAGTAATATTTTTTTTCTGTCTGTAGCTGTCAAACTTGGACCTCAAGATTTGCCACATTTAAGTAATAGACATAACTATTCTGATTCATGTGAACAACACGGACAAATGGATGATTATAGAAGTGGTGTATACGAAAATCTTGCCAATCACTTCACAACAAATCCAGTTACTAATATGGATAAAGTAAGTAGTTTTAAGTTTATGTAAACCGTTTTTATGAACTAGTTGTTGATTTTGTAATAACTGTTTTAGGTTTACATTTTAATCACTCCACCTACATACTATTCATCACTACTGTCAGAGTGTTATGACTGACATGATCCTCAGAAATTTGTGGGAGCATGGTATTCATATCAATCAACAGCACACTGAATTATGCTTGATCTATTGTCTCATTTAAAAAAAACCTTTGTCAACAACATGCTCAGTGGTCAACGGAACAAGATAGTCAACGTGAATACAAAAACAAATAACGACAATAAAACCCATGAAGACAACTAATCACAAACAAACTCACCAGACTAAACAGATTTGAGACTCGTGGAATAAACTCGCTTTTATGTTACATAATCGCTGTTGTCGTTATCCGGAACTACAATTATTGCTCTACAATTAGACCATCGAGCTTAAAGAATTCAAAAAATACCAAAAATATTCCAAGATTTAATGTATTTTTGATTACATTCCATTCTCTTATTTTTGATATAAAATAGTCTGATGGAAATAAACACTAAATAATGTGGGTTCAGATCGTATGAGAAACATCAGTTCCCTCAAGATTTCGCATACGTCTAGGGTTTCATTCCGATCGAACCCAACCAGCTGTCAATTAAAGATAATGTACACTATGTTGAGTCACATAGAGTAGTGGCCACATTACAATTTGATCAACAGAATTCGATCATTATCATGATCTAGATCAGAAGTGAGTAAACCTTTATCAAGTGACCACATAGAAATAATGCCAGGCGGGTCACATAAACTGCTAAAACGTATTTAATGAATATACTGATATTTATTGTCTATTCATGCAACCAGCGTTTACCAGTGCGGTTATCAGCGTTAACCAAGTTACTTTATCACTGAGCTAAGTGCAGTTGTGGACAATTTTTCACGAGAATGTTATAATTAGAAACCATTTTGTTTATCACAATTTGTGGCTGACACTAAAATGTTTGTGGCTTTTCTTTTCTCTACTTCGAACAATAAATTTCGAGGGTAAGATCATAAGTATTGAATAAATAGCAATTGATTTAAGTGTTATCGAAATATGTGCTCAATACATCTAGACGCATAGTTTCTTTCCATTTAAATATTATATATAAAGAGACAGCCGGTTGAGCAATAAATTATTCGTGACTATAACCACATTCGAACAACAACGCGAAATTGAGTTTGATCTCAAACATCTCTTTCTGATAATTTAATATCAATCAATTTTCCAAACAATCTGACTTTTCACCGCTTTCATACATATTTCTAGTTGAAAACATAGATTGTATGCATTTCAGTTGTTGAATTAGAATTTATCCATGTCTTATGGACTACTAGATAAAATCAGCTTTGATCTCTGCTGAACAATCAATTAATCAATGTGAAAAATTAGTTGTCTAGTCTTTTCTCTCAGTTGTTTTTCTATTCTGCAGTTTATTCCTTGTTTTATCGGTACCATTTTATCTTGCTTCTTCTACAACTTGATATTATGGTCAGCATTACCTGTCTGTTGTTATCTCAGTTGTGTAGTAAGCCTTGTGTATTGTTCTTTTTTCCAAGTAAATCAGTAATTTTATCACTACCATTGTCAATGTCCCAACAGGATTGTTTATGCTCTATATAGGGAACGGTCAATTTTCCCAAACTAACGTATTATTATCATTAGTTACCTTACTAATATTTACATTAAAAATTCGTTTAGTCATTGCTGTTACCAGTCTACTATTATTCATGTTTAGTTCAAGTTATAACAACATAGTTACATACCTCGTTGATTTATTAAATTTCACAATTAATAATCTCTTTTGCATATTCCGGCTGAACATGAATAAGTGTAGACTATATATCATTCACTTTCCACAGTAATAATGGCTAATTTCATCTAAATACTAAGTAGCAAATAGTGAATCACTGAGTTTGGAAGTGAAGCTCAAAATTATTCTAGAGGTTTGTTCTTATGTGTACATGTTATGCCTAAGACGTTAATCGATATCATCTGTTAGATTTGCTAATCAGAATTCCGATCATAATAGTTCAACCCCTCATATGCTATTCAGTGTTTAATCTACTGTCCAAGGAATTGACCAACGATACGTTCCGACCATCACAGTTTAACCCTGAGCTGAGGTTAACGTATGCTTCGCTTTTACTGATCCGTAGATCCCCAGCCTTGAGTCCGAAAGAAGAAAAAAGCAGCCTTGCTTTTATTATTGTTTTCGACTACCCAGAAGCTATCCCAAAAACTCACTGGCTTATATATGTGAACCACTAGACTACAAACACTCTAAATATGAAATACTTTACAAACAATTGTGTCATATATGACAAAGAGCGAAGCAAACGGTACACAATTAGTTTAATATAATTACGGGATAGTGAAACACACAACGATATTTAACAGGTTCACTGGAAGATTACAATTATGAGAATATGAAGCTGCAACGATGTAGTTATCTACTAGCTATAAAATTAAAATCCGTGAATTAATCCTAATTGTTACACTTTTCATATTCGCTTCACCACAGCAATAATATCATTTGCTCGTATATCCTGGGATCACCGAGTAAGTAATGCAGTTGTTAGGAAACGGGTACTAGGTAAGGAAGGCGAATCAATTGATGAAGTAGTGAAACCTCATCAGTTGCGATGGCTGGGACATGTGTTATCTATGCCTAACCACCGACGGTCCCGACGAGCAATGTTTTATAGTGTAAGAGTAGGTTGGAAGAAAGTTAAGGGCAAACAGACCAAAACATGACACAAATCCATGAAGTCACTGACAAGTGGACTGAGCCATATTGGTAGGTGTAGACTACCTGGTTGGGATCCGCAAGATGATAGCGACCGATGGTTAGAGACTTTGAATGATATTGCTCAAAATCGTTTGCAATAGCGCAGGTGCATCCAGTCTTTTGTTCTCTCAAATTCTAATCTTCTGAATTCTTCATGTCCTTTTTTCCCTTTCCAAATTTATTTCACTGGATTATACTCCTTGAATACCATCTTCAAACCCTAATCTTTCCGATTACTGTCTATACTTTTACTACCTCTGTGGTGTGAGCTACTTATATCACATAAGTAGTATATAACGATAGTCAGGAATAGAACATATTTCAGTAGATCGAGAAGGAAAGAACATGATCGGAAAGAGGTTGATATAAAAACGCAGGAACAATGTAATCTGAGACAATCGACTGATATTTGTAAAAGAAACGGTCAAGTTCGAAACAATCGATTAATATTTTGCAAATTAAGTATTTACTGTATTGTTCTCAAATTTTAGTGACATCTGTAATTTTGTATTCAATTACATTCGATTGTCCCCACTCGTGTTCTTGTTCACTACACCTCTACCGCTATGGGATTTAAATCGACAATTGTGTCTCTATGCTAATGTGGTATGGCGACCTAGACTGATGTACGTACGTACAGAGTTCTACATTGTTGCTGACTGACTGACTAATTGTTTAAATTAAGCCATAAACGTTTTGTTCAGATAAATCCGTATAAATTGATGTATTGAGATCATGAACTGATCGATGCTAGACTACCAATTGAAAACCTAGAAGCGCTAGACGACCTTTTCATCCTAGTATGGAACTTCTCAGCAGTGAGCATCCGCGATCTTGTACACGGGACTTGGACCCAGGACCTTCGATCTCATCAATCTCCACAACCCTATACTGATATATATATATATATATATATATATATATATATATGTTTCAGCAATTACGTCTTCACAAATGATACTACAACTTCAGTTATTTAATAATTATTCTTTTCATTGTATACTCCACCCTAAATATGTCTTTATTACTATTTGTTTTCTATCACATATGTATGGATTGCATAGCCTATCATAACTGTTGCAACTAATAGTCCGCTTACTACACCTGTGCCCCCTAACAAACATTATGTTATTTCACAACAATGTATGAATTCTGATTATAATTTATCATCGGAACCAATGGTAATTATTCAGAAAATCGATGCACCTACTCAAACAACATTACCCGATATTGTTGATTTAGATTGTTTGTCATCAACTTCAATACCGTCAACATTATTGTGTAAGACTATAACGGTGACAAAGTCAGAAGTAAATTGTATCAATCATGTCAATCATCTAAACAGTACTAGTACTACTAATACTACTAGTAGTAGTAATAGTAATGACAACAATGATAGCAACAAAAATGTTACAGAAAATTCCTGTGATGAATTAAATATGGAAGAAGAAAATTCACAGCAAAAAGAACAAAAACAGTCACAGAATCAGTCACGTCAAAAAAGAATCCCGGCATTGAAACATTTGAAATTACCATCAACTTGTAGTTCGACAGTTTTACGACAAACTAGTATACCAAATGGATATTTTTTGTCAACACCGGAAGTGATCAATGAACTTGGTAGATTGATTTGTTTCTTTGTTTGATTTATTTCTTTATGAAACTTTTGTTTAGATTTAAACGGAAAGAGAAGATGGTTTCAGTATATTTCATATATTGGGCTAGTAGGATGTAACTCAGGACGTGTGTTTCATCATACTTGATATTCATTAGTTGACTATCCTTGAATGCTAGTTTTAATGTTCACATTTGGACTTGAATCCAATGTCTTTCAATTCCAATGGCCGTTGCGTTATCGATTGGGCTACTGAGTCTGAATAACCACTAACTTGTCCAATGTTTATTAAGTTATTAGGACTGGTTTCGTAATTTCTCATTTTTAACGTTCAATAGACTGTAACCTTTAGAGCAGCAACAGTATTACGCTAAAGCTAACTTTGACACTAATTTCCCGCTTAATTTCTAGATGGGAAATGGTTCAAATTCCAAACACTTTGCATCATAATTATAGAGAAAATCAACTTGTTGAAAAACCAAAGATTTGAACTAGTAATATCAATGTTACCTATGAGTAGTTAGTACTGTACTTCATGTTTAGAAATACTGAAAAACTTTTCTAAGCCACATAATTTGTATGATTAATGTAACGTGTTTGTAAGATCAAGTAAGCATTATCAAATATATTAGAGTGCTACAAATTAACAGTTTATACTTAATATATTCCTTAGTCAATTACAGATTGGAGAATACAATATAAAACTTAACAGATCAAAAGGTTTTTTCGCAAGATTGTAAAAATAATCTCATTTACCTTATTCCATTATCATTTACATTACCAGCATTCATAAAGATGGTTTCTTTTGGCGTTGTAGAGGATCATGTTTGTCTTGTCATTTTGTTTTAACGTTTTTTCTCAATAAATATGAGTGAATTATCTGTTGAACTCTTCCATTCATCATAACTTGTATTATCAGAAATTTGATCCTAAAAAGTTTTACTGTTCATTTTATTCTGATTAAATCCCCATCTTATCAATAGTGGATCTACATGTTCAGTACCGATTTACCGATTCTTAATTTACCGTTAGGATAAGTTGTTCATGAATATTGTTCAAATTTCATTACGCAATGACTTCAATTTATGTGTCATTGGAAATCTATAAGGTATTGGATATCTGAAGTCTATTGGTTATTAAAAACTACGTACTTAATGAATAATCTTCAAATACTTAGTTTATAACCATATGCTCATTTGCAGCTAGCTTCGAGGCGGATCTTCAAAGTTCTAATACAAATTCATGTCTGGTGTAGTTTAGTTGTTGCAGGAATGAAATAGTTATTCTCTGATAATGAAATTTAGTTAGAAATACGCTAATTCATAAATCCTCTGAATCCTATGGAGGAATCTGAAGGTATTTTGCATGTTGCAAGATATAAATTTAGTGGATTCGGTTTTATGCAAGTTCACAGTTTCTCACCACTCCTAGGGAACATTAAACTTGGACGAAACGGTTGTCGTCAATCATAGTCAATTTCGATTCTGGCACAGATGTGAATTGGTCCAAGTTTTCATCCCCACATTAGCATAACGCTATGAAATTTACAAGATAATTGTCGAAAGGGTCGAAATAATCACGGTAAAAACGATAATAAGAAAGACTAATCACTGAGAATATGGTTCGAGATTTAGGAATGAAACAATATAGATGAAGTAATACCGGGACTGAAGATCTAGAGAAAAGTGACGAATCAATGCATCTCTGTGATCGATTGTGAATTACTTCGTCCAACGTCTCTAACCATTAATAGTGGTTTGCATTTACCAACATAGTTCAGTCCAACATTCAGTGACTTCCTAGACCTGATGCTTTCACTTAGTTTAGTCATCCTTAGCTTTCTTTTAACTTACACCTACACTATCTAACATTGCCTAACAAGGTAGGCGATAGTCAGGCATACGTAATACATAGTATAACTACCTCACCCGATGAGAATGTACAACCTTGCCAGCTGATTCGTTACCTTTACTTACCCGTATCTCAACATTTTTCACTCGATGATTCTGTAAGCTTACTATTCGTTGACTGTTTAGACTTAAAATTTTATATTCTCGTTCTTTTGGAAGTTTTCATTCATTTTAGTCATTTTTATTGTTTTTTCTCGTATTAAATTATAGGTCGTTTAGATGGTCATCGAAATAATAACAATAACAATGGTAATTCATCGACAGATTCTCCAGATACTCATCATCCACTTTGGCATACTTTTTCTCCTGCTAATATATTTTACCGGTTAGGATTACATCAGGTTTTATCATTGTCACCAGCTCCTCCAACATCTCGAGAGCCTCCTTTATTTCCTCTTAGTCATAGTCCTCCTACGCCTACTTCCATACCATCATCATCGTCATTACCTAATATAAACGCTGAAAATCAAAATTCATTAATTAATCAACCTGTACTTGTTAGTCAATCATCATGTATAAATATGGATACGATTTCAGCATATTGTGAATGTATGTTCTCTATTGTTTTGTATTGTGTTTAAAAACTTCCCCGTTATTAGTAGTATTAGTTAATGGTTTTTACACTGTGGACATTCCCTTTCTTATTTAAATTTAATTATAAATTATCTAAATCGTACTATAAATTAGAGATAAAGCTGTCCCACAGTAGTAATAACAATAATAATATTTTTTTCAAAAATTATAGTAAATGCACCGTAAATTTCGAGCTGTAGTCAGTTTGATACCAAATAAGCATATGCACTATTCGAAGAGATATGATTTAGGAATTATTTTAACTGAATATTTGTTATAGGATAGTGCAAAGCATGTATGAATAGATCTTTACAAAATGTCTAATCCATAGGTGAAATAATTTCAAAATAGATAATTAATGGCAAGCAATATATTATGTTATTGTCACAATTTCTTTAACAGTAATACTATCTTATGTTTGATAAACATGGTTGGTTACACTAAGAAACATGACGGCATAACTTCACCCTGAATGATGTAGATATCACAATCTTTGCCAAGAACAAACAAATGTTTCACATTTATTTAAATTAAAAAAATAAGATAAGATTTTATGACCCTTAAATTAAGAAAGATTTGAGTAATTCGATCATTCACTCCCAACTGCGTAACTCTTAACGTTTGACCACCGACAGACATATATATCACAACAATAAATTCCTAAAATCAGCTGAAAAAAGGTACTCCACACGTATATATATATATATATATATATATATATATATATATATATATATATATATATATATATATATATATATATTCGTGTCAATCTTTTTAAAAAAACAAGCACTACAATTATGCGAAAACAGGTTGTAAGCAGCTGGAACGAATTGTTATCTTTGTTCTTTTAAAATTCATAAATATGGAAGAGTTTGTATGAAATCGCTCAAAGAGAAAAACAAACAAGTAGTTGAATAAAAAAGAAATCTATCGGTTATTATTCTTTTCTTCGCAGCTGTTGTAAATGACACTACTATTTGTTTTTTTTTCGGTTTTCTTCAAAATATAAATCTCTGTGTTCATAATAAAGTAGATAGTACTTTGACTTGCCATGCATGCATAGGTGGTTAGTTCAATGGTTATCTATGTATGTACTGTTTTTCATTAGCGATCGATACTCATGAAATTCATAGCATATTTGTGTTTCATTCTATATGGTACTTCACTTACTACCTGTCAAATACTATTACTTTCAGTCTGAGATTGTGGAGATTGCTAAATTTTATTAAAATCATAAGCCGCTCTAAGTTCAACCATCATTGCAAACCTAGATTTCTAGTGAGAAGCCGTCACCAATGGAGTTCGACCGTGTCGGTTGTGAAGCAGTTAAGCACCGAAAACCATGGAATATGATCGCGCGACATCGTGTATTGGTTGAGGCTAAACATTAACACCGTTGAATGTCGACTCAGTGGTCTAGAGGTTAGGCGTTCGTGAGTGAGACAGAACGTCCTGGGTAGGATCCCTTCGTAGGGAATTGTGGATGAGCACTACGAAGGACAAAGAAGCCGTTTAGTGCTTTCAGGTTTTCAGTCGTGGTTGAGCTTAGATTGGCTCATGGTTTTATTATTACTATCTTCCTGATTACCCGTCTTCGGTTATCAAAATTTAGTGTATGACGTCGAGTGTTGGGGAGACTCAGAAACTTCCTCGATAAAAAGCCCAAAGGGCCCTGGAAACGCTGAGAAACATCTTACCCAATCAGCATGCGATAGAAGTTTACCAGAAACATTTAGGAGGTGAAAAGCCATATATCACAGTTGTGATTGGATGATTACCTACCCTGTTACTATGTTTAGTAGCGCTCCAAAGCTTTCCAGAAGCCCAAGGTTATCTAAAATGCTATAGATACCCTAGATTTTCTGTACATAAATGAACCTTGGGAGCAAAACGTTCTTTCCATATTTCGCGCCTTTTCTTCCGTGTTCACGTTACCGTGTAGATTTAGCCTGGAGGTTACTAAAAGAGCTTAGGAAACCGAATCAAGCGTTTATTTAGAAGATTTATCATTAAGGCAATATCAAAGTATTCTAATAGACAGAGTTAATAGTTACTATTTTCTAAAAATGACCCGACATCGAAATAAAATAAACAAAAGCAGAAAGTATTTATTGGAGGTAGAAAACAAGAGTACAGTTCAACAAGAGGATCTTATTCTCAAAGTTCTACAACTTATTTTTCTATATATATATATATATATATATTTGCTGTTGGCAATGCTTGAACAATATGGACATGCATACACTTATTCAAACTGTTACGTTTCTCAATGGAAATTTCTATATATCAAGCATAAATAAAGCCGTCATGTCGATATTCATCCTTGATTAATCTCTGGAACAAAATCATTTTAAAATCGTCGTAGAATGTCCAACATAATGGTGTTTTAGCTCATATATTCTTTATTGTAGATGAATTATAGCTAGTAGTGGAAGATAGGACATGAGTTTCATCCCACTTGGGAATCGTCAGCTAATAATCCCATTTCAATAAAAGAATGTTCAAATGAAACTAGGTAAATAATGATCATCGAACTCTACTGTAATTTTCTTTCGAAAGATGTAATTGTGCACAATCAGCCGACCATCTTGAACACTGCATTAAATCAGTTTAACTAATATTGTTTATGAGATTAGAATAAAATTGCTAAGATGAATTGTATAAATCATCCAGTGGTCTTGCTGAGTGTATGTAATTTAATTCATTTGCAAAGTACATAATTTTATATCAAATTTTTTTTATAAGCGTTCACATAATACGCATTAGCTAGCTGTTTAAATTCTGAAGTTGAATGAAGTGAGATTCACACCGTGACATGTAATAGTAGAAGTAAACGTGATTGGTCAACACGCAGCTTACTGACTATTAGACATATGATTTCCTTCCCTCTCATTGAATTCTACTCCAGATTCACTGAGAGTAATCTCTTATAGTTGGGTGAAATGATTTTATTTATTTATTTGTTTAAACATATAGATATTGGTACAAAGGGTCACCGAATACATATGCGTCATTCGATTTATGTGATGGCTGGGATGATGCCCGGGTACCCAAACCGAAGCAGGTGGTTTTCTTAGGGAGCCACTCCCCGAGCCTTCGACCTGAAGGTCTGATCCACAAGGCAATGGAGCATCGTAAGGAGATGCAGTCCCATGATAGCCAGTGACCAACGATTGGTTTATACGCCATTTGTTCCTTCAGGATACTGAAGCCCATGTGCACCATTGGTTTGGAATCCAGTTAAAGCGCCAGACATTCGCTTTTAGTCCTTTCAATTTCGTAAACAACACCCTTACCACGAGAAGTCAGTGAATATGACTTCCCTGACAGAGGCTATATACGCGTGGCCATATGAGAGCATTTGGAGAGTGTGGGCGGAATCTCTCCACTCTCAGCCGTACCAGGGCATTCGGGGGCAGGGTGAAAGGAAATTAAACTCGGATCTAATTATGTTTTATTTATTTTTAAATATTTTATATTCTGTCACTTTTATTGATAATTATCTAAAGTGAGTTTTTTTTTCATTCATTTTTTTAAAACTTTTTCATAAAAACAGCTGAATCTCAAAACTCACCTAATGTGCTTCCGAAATATGCTAAACGATCGAAATACTCATGAGAAATAGAGGGAAAAAAACATAATCTCATATATCTATACATAATACACATATTTTCAAGATAAGACTCTTTTTTTTTGATCTACTTTTCCCTTTTTTTTACAAATAAAATAAATTCATCAAATTTATTTTACATAAAGAAATTTTTTTTTCTATTGTGTATGCGCCAGATTATTATTACATAACAACTGGTGAATTTTTCTTTTGTTTTCTTTTGCATTCATTTTATAGTTTGTTTGTTTTTGTTTTGTATTTTTCACTTTCTTTTCTAATTAGATCCCTTTAAAATAAAGTATCATTATAATCATCATTGTGAAAAAGAAATTATTGTTTCATGTGTTAGAATACATATAGAAATATGTATAAGATATAAGATCAAATTCACTATACTGTACACAATTTGAGCATTTCCCTCCCTTGCCCCTCCCCATTTTCTTTATCTTCTGTTATTGTTCTTGTCGATATTAACTACCCGTGTATTTTAATTATTTTTTAATATTATCATGCTGTTTGTGTATCTGTACTAGTAGCAGTGGTAGTAGTAGTAGCAGTAGATTGAAATAAGGTAGTTGGTGTAACTGTTGACACTGTGATGCGTGTGTGTGTGTGTGTTTGTGTATGGAGTATTACACACTAGTTATAGATGAAATTTTTGTTGACAATAACTTTTGTACAAAATTTTCAACAAAATAGATACTTATTTCTTTAAAAATTAAGAACACTTATCATGATGATGATGATAAAGATAATAAGGACTTCCATAAATTAAAAAAAACGAATTTATTTACTTTTTACTACTTCCTTTCAGTCATTCATTCTATATTTGTTTTCGTTTTTATTTATTTATTTTTTTAAAAAAAAGAAAAACTTTGTTCCGGTTACTGCCCATTTCACTCACCACATTTTTTAATGCATAGAAACATTATGGTCATGTGATTAAGTTTGAAGCCAGCTAATTGAAAGGAAATTTTAATAGTAAAAGTGTGTTCATATTTTGTTGTTGTTGTTGTTGGAGTATTTCATGTTTTATTTGACGGTGATATTTCTTTTCTCTTGTCACTTTCGTGTTATTTGTTTCTGTAATTCCATCTATACGTTTCCTTTTTTTCTTTCATATACATACACAACCTTTTGTGAATAAGTGACTATCAAAGACCGTATAATAATTTTTTTTTGAACTCTTCATTCTTCTCTTATTGCTTTCTTTTCTTTATTGATTCACTCTTCTATTGTGAATGCTTTTTAGGCACTGATAACACTTTTTACACATGTATTATTGCTTATCATAAAGATTATATTTTTGGTGTTGTTGTATTCTCCAACTTAGATGGTTTAATTGCAGAGCTAATTTTGTCGTTCGCGACAGTATCATTGGCTCTTAATTCTCTGTAGAAGTTAGCTATTCAATCGCTCAACAAGCGCTTAATCAATTTATCCTAATGATCATGCTTATGGTTGGTTATCTTCGTAGACCTATGTGTCTTCATATTTCCTTGCACCCTTGTTGACTGATATGTTGAAGGCACTTCGTCAGTGAAATTATGAAATTAAAAATCACAATAAATTTAGATAACATAGGGTGATGGAAATAATATAACTGCAAATCAGATCAAATGGTAGGTTAAAGATTACTCAATGCATAGAATGATACGGATTAAGCAAGGAATGGTAGAGCGGGATGAGTACTAATTAAACTCTTCATGTGTCTTCACGACTAATAATAATAATAATTAAAGATGTGAATATTGACAACAATAGTGTTTGAAGAAACTAAACTTAAGCTGTGACACTACGAATGGTAAGGTTTTCTGTACATGGGTCGAAGAAAGTCATCTTGTGACTAAGATGGCTATTGATTTATCGTGTCCGAAGCTAGCGAAGTGAAAAAAGCGGTTGCACATATATTTTTGTACACGAAACTTTTTTTAATACTAATAGTTATTGCTTCTGGCATTTGTAGCACATTAAGGCTGACGGATTTCAGCAGAGAATTACTAATATGACAGATTACTATGAGTAGTGATTTCTCACTGACTATGTGACCGGTTTGAACAAAGTTGACCAGGATTGAACGCTCGACTAACCACTATGATTTCTGTGTTGAGAGCACGGGAACGTAATTTCTTAGAATAACTTTGGATGTGAAAGTAGTTGCACTAATTGATAAATCTTGCAAATTGAACTCTATATCCGTTTCCTAAGCTATTCTGTAACCCCCAAGCTAGAACTAGACAGCGACCTGAACAACGAGAGAGAAGACGCAAAGTATATAAGAAGTACTTTACTCCAAGGTTCATTTTAACACTGAAAATATAGGGTTTTATGATATTTTTAGATGTCCTTGGTTTGCTCGAAGATTCTGGGATGCTACTAAACATAGTAGTAGTATAGCAATCAGCCGATCAGAACCTCTACATGTGACGTTTCACTTCCTTGATATTTTTGGCTAAAACTTCAAGTGAATGCTGATTGGATGAAACGCTTCTTAGTGTCTCCTGATCCTTGCTTGTCTTTTGCAAATTTTCTGGATCACTCCGACACTAATACATGCAAATTTCTAAACAGTGTGTACTTTTTTAGGGAAAAAAGGCTTCATTATAGATAATAGCAGGTTATTTCTATCGAGGTACTACATTTCAAAAAATGAGCCTTAAATCATTTTTTAATTACTGCAATAAGCTATTTGGATTGACTTATAGTAGTTGGCTGTTTTCAGAATGCGATTATTGAGCCCTCTATGTGATTCGTCGTTTTATCGATATTGTAAAGGAAACCTTAAACTGAAGTGGATGATCTTTGATCACTTGAGTTCCCTGAGTAGGCTAACTTAATGAAACGAGGGTTGAGTACTGCATTTGAACTTTTGGATAAAATCATTGCAAGTGTGATAGCTAATTACCGAATATTAATGACGAACTAATAATATTAAACTTTTGGATTATTTGACGAAATTCAGCTTTCCCCATTATAATTATTAATGACAAATAAACTGAAGAAAACTGTCCAAAAAAACAGGACTGAATTTAAGAATAGGAAGTGTGAAATAATATAAATGATTGTAATCCATATCGCTCAACCATTAAGTGTGCAGACCTCAACCAAACTAGTCTACACCTACCAATACGGATTGGTTCAGTGGTTAGCGATTTCATGGATTAGATCTCTGGGTCAAAAGTTCAGGTAGTGATCCGCTAATAAAACCACCTGTTCCATTGTTGGCATATCGACAGTATTCCATCCCTCACACAAATTAAATGTTTTGTGTGGCGCGTATATATTCAGTCTCTCCTTTTACCAATTTTTATGTGTTTAAATAAATAAATAGGTTACCTACATCCCTAGTTTAACTCATTTACCTATTAGTTGGATTGCATTTAAAAAAATTTATAGCATTGCAGTGAATTTTTTGTTTACAATTTGTTTGGTTACAGCGATGTGACTTTCGCACTTTTGCCTATTGTAGTAGTTAATCTGTATAAGTTCATAAAAAAGAATAAATCCCAATTCCAGTTAACTCAGATTTGATTGAATAACTACTGAATATATCTAGTTTTTCTGTTATCATAAAAATGCTGTTAACACTAATGAGAATAATTATGATTTTCTTTACAATGGGTTGTTATTTGTTTGCGTTAGCCTTCTACTGATTACCACCTTTACTATAATTTACATTACATAATATCCTATTAGTAATTTTCATGTTCGAATAGTGCACATTGAAATGGAGTTATGAACTGACGCAATGAAATAAAATGTATTCCTGCTATTCTCAAAATGCTGTTGATTTTTTCTGAAAATGAATCGTTATTGATTATATTTTAGATTGTGACTAACCGTAGAAGTCACTGTCCTTTATTTGTTTTATTCAAGGTTCGTCACTTGGATTCACGTGCACTCAACATCATAACTTAAGTTGAATAACTTTCACTTCAAACGTGAACTCATGTTCAGTGTTCAGTTGCTAGGAAACGGTACTAGGTAAGGAAGGCGAATCAGTTGATGAAGTAGTGAAACTTCATCAGTTGAGATGGCTTGGACACGTGTTACGTATGCCCAACTACTGACTTCCTCGACTTGCGATGTTTTCTGGTGTAGGAGTAGGTTGGAATAAAGCTAGGGGCGACCAGACCAAAACATGGCACAAATCCACGAAGTCACTGACAAGTGGACTGAGCCATATTGGTAGGTGTAGACTACCTGGTTGGGGACCGCGAGATGATAGCAACCGATGGTTAGAGACCCTGAATGACGTTGCTCAAAATCGTTTGCAATGGCGCGGGTGCATCCACTCATTGTGTCCTCCCAAATTCTAATCTGAATTCTTCGTATCCCTTTCTTTTTTTCTCTTTCTAAATTTATTTCACTGGATTATACTCTTTGAATAACGTTTTTAGACCCTAATGTTTCTGATTACTACTTATACTTTTACTACCTCTACCACTACGGGATTCGAGTCGACAACTGCATCTTTGTGCTAATGTGGTATGGCAACTCAAACTGACGTACGTACGTACGTACGAAGTTCTACCTTGTTACTGACTGACTGTTCAGTGTTAAAGTTAACACTGAGACAAGCACACATCCTAGATTCTATTACTTTAGATAATACAATTGCATCATTCAGTCAAGTAGCTTAAAACCCAACCTAGATTAATCACATTAAATTGTGAATATCAACAAAACGGAAAAAAAATGCAAATCTTTACAAATAATTAAAGGTTTTTTTCATATATCAATAATCATTGTAGAAATTTGAATTTTCCGTATGTACTGAATGTGATCACAATAATTTCCAAATAAAAAAAAAGAAATTTGAAAACATATGATGCTTATTCTATGAAAAGCAGGTCATTCCACTATAAACCAATATGATTCTAATAATGTGTACAATGAAAAATTTCGAAAACAAAAAAAAAGAAAAGTTGACTGCGGTTATTTTCATAATTATGATGTGAAGTATTCAAACGTTTTGGATGTATGTTATTTAAGTTGTCTTCAGTTTTCTTCTGGCATATATCATGTGCTAATATTCTGTTTATCTGATTAAATAGAATCAATCCTTAAGACAATTAGAATGCTTTTATATTATATTATCAGCAAACATTGTAAATTGAATTAAGCATAGTGAAATATTTTTTATCAATTATGCTATGATTATGGACTGAACTTCAACATTCCATTATTAGTTTATTGTTATCATTTCGACTCATTTAACATTCAACTTAGCTAATCTCTTCACATTGTATTGTATAGCATCTTGGTTTGAGATATGTTTATGTTGAATCCTAACTTGATGAACATAGATGAATATCCTCCCCCCGGCCTATTTTTTTTCTTTCTTTGAGATCAAAAACTGATTTTAACTAGACCACCATTGAGACATGGAGTGTAATTAGTCTTTGTATGAGGTTCTCAGTCAGTGCGTATAGTCAATCCCGCCCGCTGGACTCAAACTCAAGACTAAATATAACGAAATAGTAATTATAAATGGACCACTTGTTTATTATAATATAATGTTAAATTAGGAATAAAGTTAAATTTTTCCTGTTGTAACATGCAGTAAATAATACAAAGTATTTATTCAGGTCAACTACATTTACTTGTTATAGCCTGTTTTATTCATTGAATAAAACAAAGATCTATTTATCAATGTGTCATGTCGGTTTACGATCATGAAAGTACATTTGATCATGTTAAATTTCAAGATAGAAAAGAAAGTATTTATCACCTTGTAACTGAACTTGATTTCATTCCTTGTTTTTATGTCATTAATTCTTTCAATAGGAACTTTCAAACCAATATAATTAACCTAATGTTAGATGATACTTTTTTGGTAAATGTATGATTAATACAGTACTGTAGGAGAAGACTAATACTAGACTTAACATGCCTAGTCTGAATTTTTAATTCTCATTTTCCTATCTAAGTTATTCATCTATTTTTCAGTGTATAATGAGTGTAATATTTAGAATTTTTCAGCATTTTTCTGTTGTCATTTCTTTCAGTCGGTGAGTGTTGTATGTAAGAGGATGAATTTCATAAGGGATGCCATTTCAGTAATCTAAAGCTATCTATATATGTCATGAAAATTTTTAGAGAATAATAATAACTGATTAAGAACGGAGTTGATAGTAGCTAACAGTGGAATACAGGACGCTTGTATCGTCGTATTAGGGACTCGTCAGATGAATGTACCAGCAACCAACAGTTGATGTTCACTCCGGGACTCGAATATCAATGGGAAGACTCAAACAACCAATACAAAAATAAAATAACTGATTACGGTTTAAAATTACAAAATAAT